ATGGTACAACAGGAGTTCAGAACTGGAGAAATAAGCAGTGCCCTGGTGGTCTGTATTTTTTTTTTCAGTCTCTCAGCTTTAGCTCTTGCTCCCAGTTCTCAGCTGCCCAATCCACATATCCCTAACTTCCTATTCTTGTGATTGTATGTGAGGTTCAGTTACATTGATCATGTATTCTAACATGAACACAGAAAATATACTTCCAGTTCATTCTACTGCCTTTCCTATCCCAACTTCTTCCATCACTTCATTCCTCTTTCTCTAAACTAATGAACTTCTATTCTTTCCTCTCCCGTCCCCCAACATTCTGGGTTAGAATCTGCATTTCAAAGAGAGGATTCGACCTTTGGTTTTTTGGGGGGATTGGCTTATTTCTCTGAGCATGACAGCCTCTCTAGTTCCATGCATTTACTGACAAATGCCATAATTTCATTCTTTTTAATGATGGAGTAATAGTCCATTATGTATAGATACAACATTTTCTTTATCCATTCATCTGTTGGAGGGCTCCGAGGTTGGTTCCATAGCTTAGATTTTGTGAATTGAGCTGTTATAAAATATGGATGTGACAACATTAGTGTAGTATGATGGTTTTAAGCCCTTTGGGTATATGCCATTCAACAAACATGTATTGATTGCCTCTTATGTTCAATACACTGTTTAAGACATGGGACACATGGAAGTGAACAGCACAGATGAGAAAATTTTGGGTCCTCAAGGGTCTTACATTTCAGGAATTGACTGGAAAGGGAGTGATGGAAAGTCTAAATCATAAAAACAACAAAGAACTAAATTACATAGTGTATTGAAAGTTTACAACACTATAGGAGAAGTGGTCCCTGTTGAAAGGAATCAGATGGAAGGAAGGGAGAAACCCTGAGAGGTGATTGCAGTTTCAAAGACTGTAGTCCGACAAACACTCTTGGAAAGGTACAATTTGAGAAGAGGCTTAAAAGACGTGAGAAGAGTTTTTTAGGCTTGGAACGGCAAGTGGGCTCAGGAGGTCTGGGAAACATAGCAGTAGATCAGGCAGAGCCAGAGTCTGTGATGCAGTACAGCCTGGTTTTGTGAATAAAGTTTTATTAAAACAGAGCTAAATATCCATGTGTTCTCCTGTTTTCCATGGCCACTTTCATGCTACAAGTGCAGAGTGGAGCTGTGGAGACAGAGACAATCTTGCTCACACACAGTTATGTATTTACTACATATCCGTCTTTTTATGGAAAATGTGTATGTCCCCTATCATGGGTAGAGAAAGGTAGTAAATGGTTAGGGATTATGCTAGAGGAGGAATGGAGTTAGAAGTGGATAGGTTCTAGATGCGATGTGAAGAGAGGGCAGATGAAATTTACTAAAATTCCAAGTGTACGCAATTGAGAGAGAGAGAAAGGAGTCATAGGATGTCAAAGGCTTGTGGTCTGGGCAACTGGAAAGATGACATTAATCAAAGGAAATTTTGCACAGATCAGATCACCTTCCATGATTTCACTCCACCAGTTGAAGGAGAACAAATTGGAGATTCCTTTTCATACATGTTTAGAAACTAGATACAAAGAAAAGAAAAACACACATTGGAGTAGAGGTCACGTTCCCATTCTCCACCTGTCCCGCAGACTACTCCCTCTTCCTGTGGCCAGATGTCCCTCCCCCATGAACCCTGAGATTGTTGTTGTAACTTCTCATTCAAAACATTATGCAAAGACACCAGGTGCCATGGTAGTTACAGGGGACTCACAGTGTGCCCTAGAGTCTTAACTAGTTTGGGGAAAACGGAGCTCTGCTTAAGGAACTGAAACCTGAAATTTCCTCAATTAAAAATAATTGTTATCCATCAAGATGTCAGAAAGATGCAAGCAGCAGTGAGGTTGGAGTCTCCCAAAACAAAGAAAAGAAAAAGAGACACATTTGGCCTAGAGGCCATGGAAATAGATGAGAGAAAGCCAAACCCTGGAGTAGCATTTACCACAAAAGTAGAGAACACAGTTTTCTCTAGGAACCTCAGAACAAGAGGATAGGGCAAACCACCAGCAGGAGGCACCAGACCTGCCTGGCAGCAGCACTTGCAGCAGAGGAAATGGGAGACAGGAGGCTTTCAAAGCTCCAGCAGGCATTCCTGCAAAGCACTCTGGGCCAGCAGGAGAAGAGCAGATGAAACTGAAGGGTTCTGGCCAACCCCAAAGTGAGTGCAGTAGATCTCCTACAACAGATTCTATAGGATGTATAATCAATATGGTGCAACAGCTATTTACATAGCATTTACATTGTTTTAGGAAATTTCTGGGAGGAACAATAAACACAAAGATAAACCTCCATGTGAGTAACAACTTTAAAATCTTAGAAACCAAGCCACCAGTTTTTAATACTTCAAGGAGGAGGAGAAGAAGAGCAGAGGGAGAATGGGGAGGGCAGAAGTAGAGAGGAGAAGAAGAGGTGGAGGAAGGAGAGGTGGAAGTTGCTGTTCCATTACATAAGAAACTATCCTCAACCGTACTTTTACAAGGAAAATGAATTTTGCATAAAAATGCATAGCAAGAAAAGAAGGAAACCAAATGCCATATAAAGTAATTCTAACAAAAAGGAGAATAGCATCCTCTCAGACAACGAAAACAAGTCAGAAAAGAACCCACCGAGCATATCAGAGTGTAGCCCACTCTCAAAACTAGCTAAGAGACAGTAAGCCATGAGAGGGGAATGGGGAATTATATCATGGATACAGCTTTCTGTTTGAGATGGTTTAAAGTTTGGGATTTGGATAGTGGATAATCCTTGAACAACATTGTGCATCTACTTAATGCTATGGAATTATCCACTTGAACTTTATGTTCCCCAACAGAAAAAAAACAACAACATAAATGGAAATTAGATGATATGGTAGAAAACAAATGAAGACTGAACTAAAAGGGAACACAGTGAATAAACATAATAGATAATGTCTAAAAAGAAAGAAGAATTTTTTAAAAAAGATAAACACATAATTAAATGTATCCCAGAGACCTAGTAAATATGAAAAGCAAGAAATCCAGGCAAATTCCAGAAACAAGAATGCAAATACACATAGGAAATTAATATGTCATAAAGATGACATTTCAAATCAGTAGGACAAATTATTCAAGTAATTGTGATATATACATTTTGTGGTTAAATAATATCTCTGGATGGGTCCAAAAATTGGAAAAAGGTGATGTCTCCTTTGGGAAGAGTGGTGAAGATGGTGGCTAGAAAATTGGAGCAAATGGGTGGATTTCCATTGAGTACTCTTTTTGCATCTTTGTAACTGTTCTATCATGTGAATATATTACTTTCAAATTTTGAATGCCAGAGTTCAAATCCCACATGTGCAGTTAAATGGTAGTTCTTACTCTTGAGAAAATTTACATTATTTATGAAATGTCACGGGGTGGGGGGCAGAATAACTTTGAGCCAAAAATTCTCAATCAATGTAAATTACAAGTAAAGACAATGCAATACCCACCAGGGATGTATGGATAAACAAATGTAGTATATCCATACAATATGATAATAGGCAGTCTTAACTGGGGAGGAAGGACTCACAGTTTACAACATGGATGATCCTTGAAAACAGTCTTCCAAGCGAAAGAAGCCAAATATAAGAGGTCACATATTGTATGATTCCTTTTATATGCAATGTCCAGAAAGGGAAAAACCAGAGGGATTAATGGTTGCTGGGGCCAGGGGGTGTTGAAAATGGGAATGACCTCTAACAGGGACAAGGTTTTCTTTTTGGGATTATGAAAATGTTATGAATTAGAGAGTGGCAATGGTTACAAACCTCGTGAAAATACTTAATGCCCCTAAGCTGAACGTTTTTAATGATGAATTTTATGCGCATTTTAAGAAATAATTTAAAAATATAAAAGTACTTACTAATCTTTCGATGGTCATGGTGTGCTGCCTCCATCATCTTCATGCCCCACTCCTTTTCTTTCCTATCCTCCCCCTGGATACCTCACCCTCTCTCGTGTCAGCTGTGCCCCAGGATTGTCACCTCGCAGAGAGCCTGCACACCTCAGCCAACCCTTGGGCTTCTGGGTCCTGCAGCTATTGGCAGGCTGCTCCCTGTGCATGCACACTCTGCTTGCATTGGGCTGAGATGGATGCCAAGAACTGATTTATTTTCTCCTGAGCTTCGGTTGATGGCAATAGTCCCTGAAGGCAGCACGCGCCAGAATCAATGGAGGAGAACTTGGCAGGACTCTCAGTTCAGTATTTATCCCCCCTTTCAAGTGTGATCTCTCTCCTCTACCCTCTACCCCACCTCTCTAGGCGGTGCTCAGAAAGCCAGGTTGGCTGCCTGTGGGACAGGCCAGGTTGGCTTACCAACACTGAGGACTCCAGGACACAGGCCTCAGATTGAGGCTTTGCTTCTCTGCATACAATTTGATCCTAGAGCAGTAGATCATTAGTAAAGTGTCACTGAGTGATACTGGCCTTGTGTGTGAAGGTTAATTGAAGTAGTGCCTCTCTGCTGCCCTGGTGCATGAGTGTTGAGTCAATGGTGATTTATTCCAGGCCATGTTCTGGGTGGGCCTCATGCTGCTGCAGTTCACTAGGCCAAGTCCCAGATTATCAGCCACCCTCAGGATAACTGTGAACCCTTGCGGCTCCCCTGGTAGAGTCCCCGTGTTTTGTATCCACCTTTCCCAGCTAGGATCTTCAGGGACCCAAACATGGTGGAGATGTGTCCTGAATCTTATTTTGTAAAATGCCTTCAGGTAGGTCAATAGACCTATGCCTTTCTGCATGAGAGTTTTTTGAGAGATTTTTGCATTTCTTCTGGTCTGCCTGAACCCATCTCCTACCATTTTCAACATGATTAACATTTTATCATTTTAACCCAAGGTTCAAACATTGTGTTATTGGTCTGCCATTTTTCCAATTCCTGATTCTTCCAGTAAGCCCATACATCTCTCTTCTTTTTGCCTTCCTAGTGCTGTATCATATGCCTTCCTCTTTTCCCCATTCCTAGCCTTTACCCCTGTTCTCCTGGCCAACTTTCTTCTCATGCAGGCTGTGATCCCCACCTCTACCAAACAAAAACACACTTAACAGCCATTCTAACGCAAAAGTCCTGTTTATTATCTATTAATCAATTCCACTACATATCTTTATTCGACGTTATTGTCTTAAAAGTATATTGGAATGAGTACATATTTATACCTCTATGAGGAAAAATGTTTGTAGCCAAGTGGTAACACATGGACTCTATTTTATCAATTAACTAATTCTATTAAAGTATTTCATTCAATTTTATTAAATTGTATTAAATGTATTAGAATGAATAAATTTGTGCCTACATATCTACATATTTATAAAAATTTGTATCTACATATGTGTAGAAAACTATGTAATCCCCAAGCATATCAAAAAGTCTCTTTATTACTTATCTCTCAAACTATTCTATCTTTATTCAACTATCTTAACACTTAAAAATGTATCAGTGTATAACTTTGTATCTATTTAACTCTATATATGTAGAAGCCTATTTGGTATTCAAATGATACCATAAAGCTTCTCTATTATTTACCTATAATCAATCTTATAGCATTTCTGTATTCAACTATATTACATTTTGAACTGTGTCTAAATGAATAATTTTGTATCTATCTATCTATGTATATATGTGCAACACTATTTGGTACCCATGTAGTACCCAAAGGCCTCTTTATTTTCTATCAATTCTCAGTGGTACCAGAAGGCCTCTTTATTATGTGTCAGGGAATTATATTACATTTTTATTAAACTTTGAAAGCATCTGAGAATAAATAAATGTGTATCTCTCTATCTATATACATGTGGAAAACTATTTGTTCCATAAGTGGCACCACTGATCTTAGCAGCTCTTACATTATGTTGCCATAGTAGCAAGAAATCTCCATCTCTCTTTCTCTCTCAATGAAACACTGCACTCTCCCCAAAGCAGTGTACTTGGCAGCATTCTCACGCTCTTGTTGAGCCTTCTTCTTCATGGCTTCCCGCTCTGGCCTCTGCTGTTTGGTGATGGGAGTTGATACTACTTGCCCAGGAACATTGGGTTTCCTCCATGGAATTGGTTGTAAGGCAAAGTCTTGGAGTAGATACTGGTTTTGAGGCTTGGGTGGTTGTGACTGGGGCTTGGTCCCAACAGTGGGAATGGGTTGCCACTGGAGAGAGGTGCAAGATGATGTTTTGTAGGGTGCAGGCCCAGAAGCAGCATACCGAGGGACAGTAGCCTGGGTAGAAGTGGTCACATCTGACTGAATGGCATGGGTCAAAACGGGCTGAACTGGCTTGGCAGGACACATCCAAGATGGGTTGGCAGTAGCTGGTTGGGATTGGTTGACTGTCATGGGTTGAGCTGAGCTAGCAGGGCCAGGATGGGCAGGGTAAGCCCTAGAGGGTCTCCTTGAGGCCAGAGACTGTGGCCTCCGATTGATTACTGGTCGAGGTGGAGGTTTCTCCAGGGTCAGAAAAGGCAAAGGTACCAATTTAACCTTCCCAGGTGGTGGAGGCTCATAAATGGATGGAGCAAGACCCTCCCTTTCAGCACTGATATCTGGGTTCTGGGCTTTGACTTGTGATTTCTCAGGACCCTTAACTGCAAGCCATGGTTTCATAGCTGGGCATGGATGGGGGTCTTGGGTACTGCCTGAGTTTCCCGGGGCCCGGAAGGAAGAGAGCCAGTTTTCTTATCATTCTTCTTCCCCAGTGCATGGAAAACCTGCACCGACTCCAGCATGTGCATGCCGAGACATCTCCGAGGCTTTTTAAAAGTCTCTTGGCAAAGCTCAGGTTGGTTCCTCTTCCACTTCAGTTTGGGCAGAGTTGGCTTCTCTTCTGCCTTGACTTTATTGCCTGGCTGCTTCCTCTCCTCGGCTTTCTTGAGGTTGTTTTCTCTGGCCCTCTTGGTCTTTTCCTGCCCATGGCCCTTAGCCTTGCTGTTCCTACTGGATGCAGCTTCCTGAGCTTTGCTGATAGAGTGCTTGCCTGTGTGCACAGGGGCCCTACTACTGTCTGCATCCCCGTGAGCAACTTCAGCTCCTAATGTATATTCCAGGTCCCTGGGATGCATTTTGGCCTGAGGAGTTCCATCAGGACTCTCTGAGGCTTTATGTTTGTTCTTCCTCAATGGATCACTAGGACCCTTTAAGGCACTTGTGATTTCCTGCCCCTGATTCACCATGATGGCTCTGGTATCATTGGATTTTTTTATTGTGGGACTTTCAGGTTGGTCAAAGTCTTTGAAGGAACTGAAAAGCTCAGGAAGTTGAATATCCCCCAGCAGTGCGGTGAGGTCTGCAAAACCACTGCTAAATTCAATCCCATTTTCAAGTGGGCCTTGGTCCTCAAGACTCAAGCTATTCCTTTCTAGATGGATATTTTCAGAATGTGGCTTCTCCTCTTGGTCCAGAGGACCAATGGAGGCCAAAAGCTCTTGGATTTCAGGGATGTCTAAAGGGAGTATTGGAGGATCCTTGTTCTCCATGGCAATCTGGTAGGCATTTAGTGGCTCTGAGAGCATGGTTTTAATCTCACACAAATTCTTAATCTCTGTTTGTTCCTGGCTTTGATTTGGGGGCAATGCCAAGAAATCAGTAGAACTCTGGGCTGGAGTTTTTATGGAAATGTCCCCAAATTCAGATTGTGAGTTTCTCTCAATTATTTCGCTTTTTCTGTTTTTGCAGGCATATGGGAATTCTGGAGGCTGTGGCAGACAAAATGTCTGACTTGGAGGTTGCAATCCCAAGGAAGCCTCCATCCCTAGGGAAGGTTCTATCCCTGCAAAGGAATCAAGGACGATGGTAAGTAGGATTCTCCCCCTACCCAGCAACACACTATTCAGGGAAACCAACAACTGTGGAGAAAGCATTTCTATTAGCTCTTTTTAAGGACCACAGACAGGTATCTGTTAAGAGTTGCGTGTTAGTTACAGGTGGTCCCTTGACGTCTTACTTTTAGTCTGGTCCATCACCATGGCAGCATGGGTTTCTGGTACAGCACTTGTCTCCTCTGTGGGAAACTCAGAAAAACTGTTTCATGAAGTCTCTCGCTCTCATATAGGGGCCTCTCAATTCTCTCCACTCTCCCCAGAATGTAAGAACACTTAACACCATGAACTAGGAGAGGGAGGAGCTGTTGCTCATGAAATCAATATGAAAGGTCAGGGGTTTTGGACTCCTGCTTTGGACAGCATCTCGACATACAGAGGTTAAATCCTGCAGTCAATTAAGGGACAATTAAACTGTCACACCCTGATATGTGTTGATGTAGTTTTCTAAGAGACCAAAGTAAAATTAGGGAAATAAATTTGTAGGTGGTGGTGTAGCTGGACTGAAGTGCAAAAATAGTGAACAGCAGCTTCCTTCTGTGTGCTCCTAGAGGTCTCTTATATGCATGGGTGGCCATTATGCTGTCCTGCATGCTTCTCTTACAGAGTATGATAATATGGAGTGCTGAACAAGGATAGTGGTTAAAATCTCAGGACTTAAATTCTTGGGAGCTGTGAACCCACAGCTGAAAACTGGACCCTCGTTTTTGAATGGTAATCTTATTCCTTCCCCTTTTTGCTGTTTGTACTCACCTTGAAAATGCGTTCCTTCTATACTTTGAGTGGACACAGAGTAGTAGATCACAGGTGTAGGGACTGATGGTAGGACATTTGTGGGCTGAACTTCCTTCAGCACTGTCACCATTTCTGGTCGAGGGGCAGTGGCACTACTTCCTACATATGGCACAGAGCCATAGGATTGTAGGCAGGGGTCATATTCTCCAGAGAACAAAGTCCCCAGAGTGTTTTGATCATAGTAATAGACCTGGATTCCTTCTTGGTGGGGTAGTGAGAGGCTCTGTCTCTGATTTGGAATCTGAGTTAGTGTCACCTGGACGAGCCTACCAGATAGTGTTGGATATCCAGGGACCATGACATTGGCTTCAGAAGTTTTTTCATACTGGGATGTCATAGACAGGGAATAATCTGCTGTGTTCTGGTCAGTGACAGTCAGATTAAAGTCCCCCAGTGAAGATGAGCTCTTTTCAGCACTTCCTGGGATATACCACTCAGAAATACTTGGATAGGGGGCAGGTGCCATGGGAGTCTGGTTCTGGCCAGTAACTCCAGACACCATGCTGTGCTAGCATGTTGATAAAGGTAGGCACTGCCCATGAGTGGCTGGAAGGAGGTGCCATAGGTTGAGGGCAGTAACCATGCTGAAGTGGCAGCTGGAACAGAGTCTCTGGAGAAGTTGCAGACACTTCCTGCCAGGGAAGCTGCATAGGTCACCACAGGAAGAGAGAGCTGCAGAGAATCAGCATTTCCATGTAAAGAAGAATTTTGGAAATTTTCTGTAGGAAGAAGAGGGTGGTGAAATATTGATGAGACAGGCAGATTCTTATGATATTCGTGGAACAATATCATCTTAATGTTATAGTAGTCAGGAAGGCCCTCATACCAATAATCATTGCGAGACCCCAAATCACTCCATTTAGGATGGCTGCAAGTACTCTTCTGATTACCTGCCTTTTCTCTCAAGTTGGGTACAAAAATTCCAAGTTGTCTGCTTAACACATTGTTTCCTAAAAGCATCCTTCTACCTGTCCTACCCTTCCTTTGAGACTACACTAGTATTGACTCATGAATTTACCCTAGAACTGAAGCATTTTCAAACTCAGAGAAAACCCCAACATTACCACTTAGCAAATGAGTACACTAAGGGTCAGGGAAGTGAGATCGACTTGTTCAAAATCAGCAACTGGTTATGGAAACCTACTCCCTGGCCAGGACTCTTGTTCCAAAGACCAGAAGTCTGGAGAAACAGAAGTTTGTTTTCCCTGTTCATAGAAAAATCGTACTGATATCACCACAGTGATCTTTAGTATCTCCTTTTTTTTTTTTTCCAACATTTTTTATTTTTTAGTTCTTGGCGGACACAACATCTTTGTTGGTATGTGGTGCTGAGGATCGAACCCGGGCCGCACGCATGCCAGTCGAGCGCGCTACCGCTTGAGCCACATCCCCAGCCCCTTTAGTATCTCCTTTTGCTTGTCCAGGTCACATGATATTTCCTAGAGTTCAGTTTATATCAGGAAATGATAATTTAAGCGTCATTCTTTACCTTCTTGAAGCCAATCTGCTGATCCTATATGAAAATGACTACCTGAAAGTATGTTCCTCAAGAAATAGAATCCTAATCAATACTTCTTGAAAGGATTTTAAACTTTCTGAGTTTCAGGTTACTCATCTTTAGTGTGGTTATAATAATACCAACAGTGATAATTCATCCATGAATAAAAGTGACATATTACATAAGATTCATATGGGGGCTGGGGTTGTGGCTCAGCGTTAGAGCGCTTGCCTAGTCCATGTGAGGCCCTGGGTTCAATCCTCAGCACCATGTAAAACTAAATAACATTAAGGTATTGTGTTGAACTACAAATAATAAATAAATATTACAAAAAAGTTTCATATGGAGGGAGAAACAGTGTGATCTGGAACGACAGAAGCAAAAATAAAAAACAGCACAGAACTAAAAGGAATGACTAGATAATAATGAACTATAAATTTGAGTATATATCAAATTTGCTAAGAAATGAGTTCTGTTATCATGCATACAGTATTATGAAAGCGAATGTTTCCCTTTGATTTTCGTGAATACTGTTAATCAAAACATAGCCCATAATTGAAGGTAAGTTTGAATGCAGTACATATACACAGAGAAACTATACTAAAAATGTGTGTAATAAGCCTCAAATTTAAGTAAAGTTTACAGATGGGTAGCCACGTGGAAAAGCGAAAACCAAAGCCAAAACCCATTATGAATCTGGGCATGGTGTGGTGGGCCTCTAGTTCCAGCACTTGGGAGCCTGAGGCAGTGGGATTGCAGGAAACCAGGAATTCAAAGTGACTCTAGGCAATTCATCAAGATCCTTTCTGGGAAACCAAATAAACTGTACTGGAGATATTGCTTGTGGTAGCATGCTTGCCTACCATGTATGAGACCCTGTGTTCAATCCTCAGAACTGGAAAGAAGAGAAGAAAGGAAAAAAGAAAGAATGAATGAAAGGTTAGAAGGAAGGAACAAGGAGCAAGGCAGGGAGAGAAAGAGAGTGAAATGGAGGGAGTGAGGGAAAGAAGAAGGGAAGGAGGACAGAAGGAAGGACATAAGAAATTTTGTACATACTAGAGAAAAAAAACAATATGCGTAAAGTAATTTCATTAACGATTACCCACACCAAATAAAAGACATTAATCCCACTAGGTAGATATTTTAATTAATATAAACACTTTCTCTGATAATCATTTCAGTTATAAAAAAAGCAGAAAAAATACTTTAACAAAATTATGGAATACTAGTTTATAATCATCTTTCAAGGAAAATCTTGTCCCTGTAGTCTGAGAAAACCATCACCAGTATAATAAAATAACAAAATTAAAACAATTTTTGATTTTTATTCTGACATTTTCTTCTCCCTTTTATATTAAAACAAAAATGTTTGAGGTACCCTACACCCCAGGCCCAAACAATAATTTGAAATGTTAACAAAACAAAAAGTCTTCACATAATTATTTAAGTAAACTTTTAATTAGAGGTGTGAGCTTGAATTTTTATTCTTATATAGTTTTTTCTTTTGGTTCTTAGATTTAGAAATCATCAATGACTATTTGTAAATAGTCTATTTTAGAAAGAAAAGATGAAAAACAACTCTGCCTTGACAGCTTATATCACACTAAAGAATGTGTCCTTCTGATGCAGGTTTGGACAAAACATTTTTAGAAATCCCTATAGTTTAAAAATCAGAACAAAATAGGACATGGAAATGCCGTTTCCCCAACTCTGTCTAGAACCACTTTCCTCAGCATGTTTGGAGGAAGAGTCATTTCTAAAACATACTTCTAAAACGTTCATGTTTAAAGAGTCAAAGTCATCTGTGTTCAAAGAGTCCACCCAAAAAACTCCAAACTATCCAAATGTTACTTTTCACATAAACTGCTTTCCCCAGTGGTACCCTAATTCTAACCTTAGTTTCCTTGCTAGTCTATGAACCCCAACATTCTCTAAAATAGCCTCATTCAAGACTTCACCCTATACTGTGTTGATTTAAAATCTTTGCTTGATCTTTCACATCTATCCCAACCAACCTCCTTTTTCTTGAAAACATCACGCTCTTTATCTCTTTTATTCTGACATTTTTTTCTCCCTTTTATATTTTCTTCCTCTACTGAGTTCCTGTTGCCGTGTGCTTAAACAGTCACAAACTTGCTTCCTGAGAACATCTGCCTTCTTACAAGCCCTGTCCTTCTGCACCCCTCTCCCTATTTTTCTTTTCACCTTGTTTAAACAGGAAACTCCCAAATATGTGAATGTCCCTTTTTTGAGTAGCACATTCAAAATTTGAAATACTGAAGTGGAAATCTTGGTGGAGGGAGACTGTTACAGAGCAAACTTCTTGAATTCTACCCTGCCTAGATTTTCTCTTTTTCAGTTGAAACAACACACCCCCAAAATCTGATTTTCCTCTGTAAAAACATGCCCCTTAAGACTCAGTATTAGAAAAGAAAGGTACCAGAGCATGGGCAGTGTGTTATCCTCCTGTAGCAGATGAGGAAATAGATTTTGTGAGAGAGTACAAGATGGTCCCCAGTTCCATACCTAGTACATGTCAAAGTCAAAAGTGAAATTAGGTGTCCAGATTTTTAGTTCCATCCGTTTACCTATTATTAGCTCTTCTGACTCCATTAGTAAATATAGGCAGGGAAAAGTCTAATGAAAAACTTTAAAAAATTTCTTTCCTTACCTGACATGGTCAGAGAAGAGGTCACATCAATTGCAGATACAGAGGATGAGGAGACCACCTCAGAGGATGTGTGGGTGGCTGAGACTAGAGAATGCATGTTCTCCAGTATGGAGTTCACTGGTCACTGTTTACTGTCCACTGGCCACTCTGATGACTGGTTACTGGTCATTGGTTACTTGCGATGATCCAAATTTGTTTACAACTGCATGGCAAGCCTAAGATTCTAGCAGGTGGCAGTATGTTTGGTGGGAGAATGATGTCACAAAACTGGCCGTTTAAAGGTATGAAGTAGCCAATAGGGTGGTCAGACTCCCAAGGAGAAGGTGGGATTGGGTGGAGAAAATGACAAGAGAGTTGATTGGGTGGAGAAAATGGCAGGATGGTTATAATAGCACTTAAATGGCCCTGCTCTGAGGAGGTGAAACCCTCATAAGAGGGAGATGATATGCCCATGTTCTCCAGGATCTTGTGTTTCGGAGATTATCTCAGTGTTCCTTCTTAATATTCATGAAGAAAAATTGTTTATATATTATATGTTTATACATTATATATTATATTTCACATTATAATAGGTAATAGGATGCACATAATTATATATTGCATGTAAAATTAATATCACTGGGAATGGAAGAAAGAGACATCTAAGTTGAGCAATTATACTTGTTCTGGAACCATAGAAGTTGATCTGATTAGTGAACTTACTGTGACTTCAAGGATGAAAGAAAGGGTTTAAAAGCTCCCTTTTTTAGATGTAGATAGATGTAATACCTTTATTTTATTATTTTATGTGGTTCTAAGGATCAAACTCAGTGCCTCACACATGCTAGCTGAATGCTCTACCACTGAGCCATAACACCAACCTAAAGAGGTCTTTCATAACTGAAGAGTATGTGAATTTCCTAGAGTGCACCCTGTACATAATAATGTGGTCCAAGGTTCTCTTTAGTTTCTCCTTGAATCCTACTTTCTTTGACCTGAGCTTGGCAGGTTGGAGTTGTAGCTCTCTTCTTCTCTCCTTCCCCACCACATTGATTCTGCATCCTTATACTCATGAATATTACTTTCTTTTGAATTCTAGAAGCAGGGGTCTTCTATTCTTTTCTGTGGCCTGGTTCTTTGAAGAATGGACTGTGAGTATTAGAAGGACAGAGTAGAGAGGTGGAAAACAAAGCTGACTGTAAAATTTCTTTCTTGTGAACTTTGGTCATAATTCTTTGACCCATAATTTGCTGGTGATGGATCCTTGAACATCCTGCCATCAGCCTCTTTCATATGTGAGAGGCACTGAGGATCCTTTCTCTCTTCTTATGTAAGAGGATCCAGTGTGGCAGTTACTGTGACTTCCTCCCCCATGCAAACAGCCACTATAGAATCTTGGGCTTCTCACATTCTTTGTCTGTCATGCTTGAGTGGAAGGCCAGGAGAATAGAAAGAATTGAGGGTAAAGAAAAATGTGGTTACCATGGAATATTTTAATTTTGGCAGAAACAAATCGGTCTTTTTGTCTCAATTGTGTTAACAAACAGGCAATTCAAATGGGAGGCAGTTCTGAAATTGAACCAGGGACACTTTCTCACTGAGTTACATCCTCAACCCTTTTCATTTTTCAGTATGAAACAGGGTTTAGCTAAGTTGCTTAGGGACTTTCTAAATTGCTGAGGCTCTTCTTGAACTTGCAATTGTCCAGCCTCAGCCTCTTGAGTTGCTGGGATTACAGGTGTATGCCACTGTGGCTGACTGGCTCTCTCTCTATATATATGTAATCCTTTAAAAATTATGTATGTATGTATGTATGTATAATATATATATATATATGTGTGTGTGTGTGTGTGTGTGTAATTTATATATATATATATATAATTTTTTAAAATTAGCTAGCTAGAAAATCCAGAAACTGTAATGAATTCTGTATAATTAAGATAAAAATCTTACATACAATTTTCTTATTTTATGTCATGTCATCTCATTTTTTCACTCATTAATGTATTTGTAGTCTATGGATGGCTCTTTAAGGCTCTGGGTTTTCAGCTCACTTTTTTGTCATATTTTAAAGAAATCCAACATTGTAAGATATATTGCATGTTTTTCATTGATGACTGTTTATGGTGAAGTTTTGTGGGTTAACTTAACCTGATGGACTTGTGGAGAAAAGCAAAGAGAGGCATGTGGGGAAAGCCTTGTGGTGAGTTATACTGTGCACCCAAGGAAGAGGTGTGTCTGGGCAGCCCAACTTGATCTAGATTGCTTTTGCTTTTGATTCCCCTGGAGTGTGTTTGTTTTACTAATTTCTCTTGTGTGATAAACTAAGTCAGAATTGAGTTGGTAATTATATATATATGAGTACTAAGCTGATTTAGGGGAGTAAAACTATGGATTTAATAATTTACCTTGGTGATAAGCTCTTTAAAAAATATTCTGTTGTCAATAGTCCTTTGTTGTATTTCTTTCCATCTGTGCAGTGCGGAGAATTGAAACTCATTGCCTCACATGTGCTAGACAAGTGCTCTACCACCGAGCTATGCCCCCAGCCCACTGGTAAACTTTATTTTTTAAAAAAATTTTTGTGGTTGTAGATTGACAGAATGTCTTTATTTCTTTTGATGTGTTGCTAAGGATCGAATCCAGTGCCTCACTCATGCTAGACAAGTGCTCTACCATTGAGCTAATAGCCTCAGCCCAAGGAATAAGCTTTAAGGATGCCTGAGTTGATCTGTCTGGGGACTTCTTTAGATACAGTGCGTAGATAGTGTGTGATGCAAGATATCAAGAGCCCACAGATGTCAAGAGCACCTCAGTTGCACAAGCTTATATTTAGGAAAAATAGCTCATATATGAGGCTCATATAAAAAGATAAATATGCATGTATAGACCTACTTTTCCCAACTCTTCCAATGCTTATTATGAAATATGATTTTTTGGTGGTTGTGTGTGGGCTAATTCTTAGCTGAAAAGGAATTGTTGAAGGTTTTCAGTGTAAATATATGGCATGGACTATGTAAACTTTTTCAAGGCATTTTTTTCCTCTTTAGCTCAGTTTTAGACCTCAGATAGCTTACTTCTTTAATACTGTTGATGAGACTAAGAACATACACTAAGTATCTGCAAGCCAGATCATTCCCTATGTTCTCTGAGAAATCAAGGGAATTTATACCTACTACAGGTTAAGGTGGTAGGTGTTAGAATGGGAATTATGTGGTATATTAGTTAACTTTTTGTTACTATAACAAACACTTGAGATAATCACCTTACAAAGAGAAAATGTTTATTGTGGTTCACAGCTTTGGAGATTTAAGTCCATAGTCATGTAGCTCTGTTGCTTTTGGGCTTGTGTCAAGGCAGCACATCATAGAAAGGAGTGCATGGTTGAAAAGCTCCTTACCTCATGATCTGCATGAAAGAGAGAGAGGAAAGGGAGGAGGAGAAGAGGTATTGGGTCCTGTTATCCCCCTTTGAGCCCATGTCCTTAATGTCCAGAGGATCTCTGATTTGGCCCCCACACTTTTTTTCCCCAGTAATCAGAATTGAACCCACTATTACTTTGAGCTATAACCAGCTCCTGTTTTAAAATATTCTTTTGAAATAGGGTCTTGTTCAGGTGCACTTGCAAGCCTGGCACTTGAGATCCTTCTACCTCAGCCTCCCAGATAGCTGGGATTATAGACAGACAGCTTTGTGCCTGGTTAAGGCCCCACCTCTTAAAGGTTTCCACCATTTCCCAATAGTGCCAAGCTGGAGAATAAGCCTTGAACACTGTGGGCCTTTAGGGACATTCCAGCTCAAACTTTGCAGCATGTGGTAAGATCATTTTTGATAGCAGAATAATTTTTACACACTAAAATATTCAGGTCCAATATTCAGTTATTATTAGGCAAATGTTGTTTGCCTCTCCTATTCCTAGGCTTGATAACTGTTTTATCTTCATAATTCCATCCACTTAATTCTAGCTTGTAGTCTTAGCATCATCTGAGCTTCTAAAACAAGTTTTAAATATGGAAAGAAGAACCTAAAGAGGTTTGGTCCAACACTCTGGAACTTAGTATATGTCCTCCCCTGACCTAAATCCTCAGTTTTTATACTGAGGGTATTGTCCAAGGGACAATCCCATACCTGCATTTTGTATTGATCAGAATAACTGGGACTCTTCTTGATGTGACATAAACATACCATCTACCCCTGAGGTCCTTCTATATTCTCTCTATATTTTTTTTGTTTTTATTAAAGACTGGAAATCCTCAAGCCTCTATATAGTACCTAGGTGCTACCAGATACTGTCACATTTTATTAGTGTCAACAACTTACCTGTTGCTCCAAATATCCCTTGCTCCTGTCTCTATTTTCCACTCTAGTGTACTAGGTATTTGAGACGACATTATTTTACCCTTTGTTGGAACCACTCTTCTCCACAGGACTACTCTTTTCTGCTCCTGTACTTCCTGGAAACTCTATCCTCTCTAGGTCTGGATTTTCTTGTGTCAACTATAACTGAGTTTATTCTCTCCCTACTTGTATCTTTTTTGAAAACTTAAATAACAAGACTAGCATAGCTATTGTTTTTTCTAAAAATTTATGTCTTATTTTGTATTTTTTAATGTTTATAAACATTGTCCATTTATGCATTCTAGGCACCATGTGCCTATCAGATATATTTTCATATGTTCTAAAAGAGTATTTTATAATTTCATGTCAAGTTTGAATGTGCCTAATTGTACTTTTGCAAATTATGCATATTCTCTTTTCTTTTTCCAATTGGCAACTTACTGATATTGACCTAGTTTTAATGTGGGGGGAAATTTCAAAATTGTAAATGCTAGTTCATAGTTCTCATAGACATCCAAGTAAAGCATTATTTTGAAACAAAAGAAATCTCCTTACATGGTCTATAGGGTCCTATATCGTCTGGAATCCTCTTTGCCTCCCCAGCCCCATTTCTTGCTACTGTTGACTTTCTGTGCTTCAGATATATTGAATTAACCACAGTTAATTTTAACTTCTATTATACCAGCAAGTGTAAATATTACTTTTCAGGGTTGACTCCTAGTATTTTCAAGAGAAGTTCACAGTCCCTTTCTCTTTGAAGAGTTTTCAAACATAAAGTTTAAATTCTCTACCAATTGAATGTGATGCAAACAGTTGTATGATGACTAAAAAATTATGTTTAGTGAAAGAATTGAATTAAACTATTGCCCTGTGTTTGTATTATTAATACCTAATATTTGGTAATGGGATACAGAAGTTCTGACCATCTGATTTTAGATATTGTTTATTTCTGGAGACCTTGGTTCTGTTCCCTTGGATCTGTTTTCAAGATATGGAGATGGGAAGAAGGAATGTATGGATTGTTACCAGGCCCCTTCTATTTATATTAACTATGAATAAGTGGCAGAATGTACAGCAGAGAGAAGGGACATGCTCTGTGGGCTATGACTCTGGAATTCCAGAAGTCTTTATTCTGTGCAGGGAGACAAGGCTAAAATACAGTTTGGCTAACAAAAAACATATCTACTGGCTGGAAAGAAAGACTATCTCCCAGTTGGACAGAGGATGCTGGGGACTGGATTCATTGCTTTCAAAGTTCCTTTGCAAAAGGTAAGCAAAAGTTAATTTTCTATTCTTTCAGAAATCTAAATTCACCACATAGAACATGGGTTTTTTCTTTTAAAAATTAATATAGAATTTTAATATACATATGTATATATTCAACAGTAGACAAAAATTTATTCAATAAAATTATTCGCCACAAAGTTCTTAAAAAAAACTTTCATAATCATAGGTTTCTCTTTGGGCTAGGGGTTAAAAGTCCCAATATCTTCACTTCTAAGTGCGAACCTGCAGGCAAAGTGTGCTCTTTTTCTCTCTGGGAGATTCTCCATGAGGTTGTATGTAATGAATTCTCACTGCTATCAACTGAGAAGTCTATATATTCTAATTAGCTATCAGCCAATAGTATTGTGGCTGTCTATTGGAAATTGTTTCACACCAATTTTTTTAAATTTGGGCTGCTATTTTTAATAGAGTCTATGAATATATTCAAAATTATTAGAACATTGGTTTTCAATCCATCACACTTCATTTTCCCTTTTTGTAGAAAGTGCTTTTTAATATCCCCTTTGCTACCCATAAGTAAATTTGCAAATGAATATAATTGACTTCAAATCATACTTTTAAAGAAATCAATATAATGCCATAACTATAAATAATAGTCTAAATTTGTAATGCAGTAATATATATTTCAATATCTAAATTAATGAGCATTACCACATTAGAAGATATAAAGAAAGAGGTGCTTACACTATGAATGGAAAGTAACAATTTAGACTGTAACCTAGTTGGGTAATATTTCCATAGCAGTGAACAACTCAGTAGATTTCCAAACAAAACAAAATACAGTCTTAACTTTGTTGATAAGGTAATTCCTGTCTTGACAAATTCAACAGACATTAAAATTGTACAAAAACACTTCATTTGTGAATTAGAGTTAGGTTCTAAAGCTTAGTATAACAGTTTTTATAAAATATTATATTAATATTGAGTAGGATGTTCACGAGTCATTTAGGTTGAGGAACATAAATAAACACAAACATTTATATATTGAGTGAACTTTTTTCTTCCTTTGGATCACTGGAAGAGAGGTTTCTAAATGCCTCCACAAGAGTAGAAACACTTCTTGTGTCTCATAGTTTGCTAGCATGATAGGATTTGAATAAATGCATAGTAGAGGATTTATTTTAGCACACATTGCTCTCTATTTCACTCTGCTTACAGAATTTTGAAGCAAAACTTGCTCCAGAAGAATGCTTTTCTCCTCTGTATCTTTTTAACAAAATCCAAACAAAATGAAGATCTCGGACTAATTATTGATTTACTGTATCCTTAGCACTATTATGAGTCAGAGGTAAATTGAACCATTAACTTTTTTGTTGTTGTTTGGTTCTGAGTATTAAATTCAGGGGCCTTCAACGACTAAGCCACATCCCAGCTCTATTTTTCAATTTAGTTAGAGACAGGGTCTCACTGAGTTGATTAGTGCCTCACTGGTAATCCTCTGTCTCAGCCTCTCAAGCTGCTGGGATTATAGGCATGGGTCGGTCTTCATTATGATATTAAAATAATTAATACAAATTCAGAAATAATTTAATAGTTTTCATCTAGTACTCAAGTGAAGCATGGCCTTCTTTCATGGGTAATATTAATCTTAAAAGGAAACCAAATGGTCTCTTTAAGTACATGCTTTTAATTGCTGTCTCAAAATGAGATTGGAGACAAGAATTGAACTATTTGGTCACCATTACTACTGTTTATACCCAAATCTTTTTCATCATCTTCAACAAAAACTCTATAACCATTAAAGAGTAATTCCCTTTTCTCCTACTCTTCCAGTCCCTGGTAACCTTTAATCTACTTTTTTTCTATATAACTTTGCCTATTCTTGCCAATAATATAAATGCAATAATAATATTTGTCTTTCTGTGTCTAGTGCATTTTACTAATTATGTTTTCCAGATTGATCGATTTGTGGCATGTATCAGAATCTTATTCTTTTTCATAGCTAAATATTTCATTGTGTACATATGCTATGTTAGTTATGTTTATCTGTCATCTATCTATAGGTACATGGGTTGTTTCTTTGGCTATAGTGAATGTCACTGCTATGAACATTGGTGTACAAATGTTTGTTTTTTGGGTTTTTTCAGTACTAAGGATTGAACCCAGAAGGGCTTTATCATTGAGCCTTCTCCTTAATCCTTATTAGTTTTTGAGACAGGGTCTCACTAAGTTGCCTTGATAAGTTGCTAATGGTAGCCTCTAACTTGTGATCCTCCTGCCTCAGCCTCCTGAGTGCACCACTGGGCTGGGACAGTGTACAAATATTTGTTCGAATCCTTGCTTTCAGTTCTTTCAGATGTATGACTCGGAGTAGAATTGCTGGGTCACATGGTAGTTCTGTGTTTAACCTTATGAGAAACTGCTGAACTTTTCCATTGTCATTTTCTTGTTTTTAAGCTGTTATCCTAAATGTCAGACAGATACAGAAAGATATAATATTTATAATTGTTTTCTATATATTAATTAATGCATTCAGCTTTAGTGTTTATCAGATGATGACTATCTTGTTTCATCCGTACTCATACCTGTTTCATCCCATTCTGTATTTTTAATAGATTTTTTTAGTTGTTTATGGACCTTTTTTATTTTATTAATTTATTTATATGCGGTACTGAGAATTGAACCTCGTGCCTCACATATGTGAGGTGAGTGCTCTACCACTGAGCCACAACCCCAGCCTCCCATTATGTATTATTTTAAAGCAAATCTAAGATGTTTTATAATTTCATATCTCCATATTTGATATGTATATTTAAAGTTTAAGTACTTTTGTTGATATTAATTCTTTAATGTCAGATAACCCATCAGTGTTCAAACTTGCCTTAGCTCCTAAATGTCATAAAATATTGTCATGTTACAATTGGTTGTTAAATCTCTTAAGTCTTATTCAATCTATAGATTCCCTTCCATGTCTTTCTCACCTACCCCCTGCCTTGAAATTTCTGTATTAATGAAATCAGTTAGTGTTTGTCCTATGTAGGTTTTGATAATTGCATTCCCATGCGTTAACATTTTTTCTAGTCCTTTATTTTCTGCCAGTTGTTAGTTGGATCTAGATTGATCAGATTCAGGCTTGATATTCTCTCTCTCTCTCTCTCTCTCTCTCTCTCTCTCTCTCTCTCTCTCTCTCTCTCTCTCTTTCTCTCTCTCTCTTTTGCAAGACAGTTTTGGAAGTGATGATGTATTTGTTTTTTCATCTGCAAGCTTATAAATGAGTGGTTTTCTCTATGATGTTAGCAGTTATTGATGATTGGTCCATTAATTCTTTTGAGACTAAAAAAAAAACAGAGAAGTCAATAATTCTTTCTTCACTTATTAGCTGTGTATTTTTCTACAAATTGAAGTTTCCCCTTATCAATTGGATGCCCAGTTATATAGGCATGATTCTTTCCTTTTATTAAGTTCCCACAATTTTTTTTTTGATACCAGGGATTGAACTCAGGGGCACTCAACCACTGAGCCACATCCCCAGTCCTATTTTGTATTTTATTTAGAGACAGGATCTCACTGAATGGATTAGCATCTCACCTTGCTGAGGCTGGCTTTGAACTTATGATCCTCTTGTCTCAACCTACCAAGCTTCTGGGTTTATAGGCCTGTGCCATCCCATCTAGCTACAGTTTTTGTGGTTGTTGTTTTGGGGTGTTTTTTTGTTTGGTTGGTTTTTTTACTGAGATTACAAATTGAAGCTCTATCTTTTGACTTTGGGGCTTCTCAATTTGGCTCCTGAGATATTTTGAAACAACCTTTGTAATCTTTGTTTACTATTTTTGCTATTTGCATAATAAAGTTCTGAGCTCTTCTTATGTATTTTGTGCCCAGGCTAAATTACTCATTTTAACAAGTTACTTAGATTCTTTTAGTGGGAATGATACTTAGAGACTACCATCTGAGTGCTAGAGATATGCATTGCTATCAGGCTGATATTGTTCCAAGGCCTTTTTCTGTAGAATTAGGTTTATGTGTGGGTATGTGTTTATAATGTAAAAGCCATATGTTCATGCTGATACTCCCCATTTAAATTCTCAGATGTAGGCTTTTCACTTACCCACTAATCTAAGCAAAATTCCAGGTCAAATACACTTAATTTACCTATCTTAGGTGCTTTTTTCCTTTACATTCAAATCTTTTACCAAAGTATAGCCATAGCAGTTGACATTGATAAAGAAGAAAACTAACATTTAATTAGCCAACTACTGCATTAGATACCGTAAATTACTTCTTTTGTGTATGCGTTTTTTGGGGATTGAATTTAGGGTCTTATGCTGTTGTGTGGCAGATCACTCAGAAAACATTCCAAGTCCCAGTTTTGTCCAAATTGAAGAGTCTTTATTTAGCTGACCAGCCGGTGACTACTCCCCACAGGATCCATAAATGTCTCTGCAAGGAACAGCCCTAAGCCTGAGCATTTTAGGATATTTAAAGGCATAAAAACACATCTGAGTTGACATAGTTGCAAGCAAGCAGGTACAGAAGCTGGATTGGGCAGTTAGCAAGACAATGCAGTGGGTACATTGGTATTTCCCACAGGACTTTCCAGGTTGGCATAGCAGCAAGCAAGCAGAAGGGAAGTGAATCAAAATGACTCTAGTTCAGTACAAGTTAGAGAATGGTTACTAATGTCTAGACAATCAGTCTCTGACAAGGTACATTGCCCAAGAAAAATGGAAACCAAAGAGAACACTTTTACATTATATAAGAATTGCTATTGTGTGTTGCCAAGTACACTATGCTAGGTAACTATTAATGGGTACAGAGGCAGGGCTCTCCCATGGGAAAGCATTTCTTACATGATATGAAGTTTCAGGGTAAAATGGAATTTGTTTGGTCATTGCCCATATAGCCTGGCCCATAACAATGCATGCTAAACACATGATCTACTACTAAGCTATACCTCCAGTCCCTACTTTATTTAATTCTCTCGATAACCCTGTAAAGCATGTTTTTTAATTACTATCCTTGCTTTACAGATAAGGAAGATGAAGCCCAGGAAGGGTAAGTAGCCTCAAACATACAGTCATTAAAAGACAGAGATAAGATTCAAATCTATTTCCCTCCCACATTGCATCTCATGTTGTTCTTATTACAGAGATCTGGAAAGATAAGTGAAAGGCAGATCTTCCATGTGGCCCAGACAGGACCATGCACCTTCCTTGCCTGCAGTACAGCTCCAGTTTCTTTTACACAGTTTGCATACACAAAACAGAGGTGGATTCTTACTTTGGGGATGAAATCCTTTCTGGCAACATGAAGAAATCTCCTCTAGTCCATGGTCAGTTAATTTAAAGAATCCAGTTCAAAAATAAGAAAACACAGGTTCAGAGGCAAGCAAAGTTTTTGTTCCCCAGCCTAACATACACACACGACCGAGCATGCACTCTCACACACAGTAGAACAGAGGTCATAAGCTTCTATGATATGCTAGCTTCCAAGTCTCTTTTCTGGTAATTGAATCATAATTAGGGAATGACTTATCACTGCTACCACACTGGATTTTCCTGGGAAAACTCATGGTAAATAACAGGTTTTGGAGTGAAAAGTACCACTCTGATATAATGAGTTTGATTTTGAACTTTTTTATGTCTGGGTGGTGCCAGAGATGGTACCCAGGGTCTCATGCATGCTATGCAAGTACTATACAACTGAGCTCCACCTGCTCAGCATGAATTTTAAATTATTTTTTTTTAAAGATTTATTTTTTAATTGTAGTTGGACACAATACCTTTATTTTATTTATTTATTTTTATGTGGTTCTGAGGATCGAACCCAGGGCTTTGCACATGCTAGGCAAGTCTCTACCGCTGAGCCACAACCCTAGCCCTGAATTTGAAATTCTTTAATACACTATTGAACTCTTGGAATGCCTCTCACACTTCAAGTCAAAACTCTTTTTTTTTTTTTTTTTTTTTTGGTACTGGGGATTGAATCCAGGAGTGCTTTACCACTGAGCTCCATCCCCAACCCTTTCCATTTTTTTATTTTGAGATAGGGTCTCACTAAGTTGCTGTGGATCAGTCTTCCTATCTCAGCCTCCAGTTGCTGGGATTACAGGCATGTAATACTGTGTCTGGCTCTTCTGAACTTTTCATAGAAAAGCAATAAAACTATTGCTTCTATATCTTTTAAAATAAGCATCATAGGTTTATCAGAATATGGGGCTTGCAAGAAGCCTTTTAGAAAACAGCAAATCAGCACCATGATCCTTATATTTTTTAAAGAAGAAGTCTCAATTATAGAGATGTTTTGCTCTGATATTTTCTTTGCTACTGCCTCCCTATAACACCCAGAACCAAGTCCTGTATACTCACTCCTGAAACTTGGGGAGCAGACAATAACTGTTGACTCTAGCAGCGTCATCTGGTAGGAAAATTAAGTGTGTAGGTCGACATTGGATAGAAAGGTGGTCTGTGTGCGATGAGTCTGAGAAGAGAAAACAAGCCAGAGAACCTGTTCTTCCTTCATTATGCCTCATCTCTATCTCAGAATTCACCTAGTTGTTCAGGTAAAAAAAAAAAAAAAGATCTAGGAGTCATTCTTTACTCTTCTCTTTCTTCCTCCTAATATCCAAGCCATCAGTAAATGCTAACTTCTCTACCTTTAAAATAGAGACTGAATCCAACATGTAACCACTTTTCTATTATCTGTGAGACTAGCCTAATACTTTTTCCTGGAATATGATAATAACCTAGCTGGTCTCTCTACTCTTTCTTCAGTTATCTTCAGTCTTACCTTCACACTATAGCTTCATATTTCACACAGGTAAGCCAAATTGTGCCATTCTTCTTCTCAATCTCACTAATGGCCTCTATTTACATCTCCATACCAGGGTAAATGGACCTTTCATAAACTAATCTTTGTCTTTCTCCCCCTAGTTCTTACCATTGTTTTCTATTAGTCATTATGCTGTATCCTCACCAGCCTCTGCTCTTCCTTAAACATGCCACATAAATTAATATTTTAGGGCCTTTTCACTTGCCTTTATCTCTGTGGAGAATGTTCCTTCTTAGACAAATGACTCATATGCTTATGAGATTCTCTGTCCTCCACATTCTGACCCTAATCCCTGCTTTTTCTTCTTAGCACTTGATAGTATATATTGCTTATATTGTTATTGCCTGTCTTCTTCAATGTATTGTAAACTCCATAAAAGCAGGTACTTTTGTATGGGATATAGGTGTATAACCAGCACATCGAAGAATACCTGGCACATAGTAAGGAACTCAATACATATTAATTCAATCCACGAATGGATGAATGATATTTCTACTATCCAATAATAATAGTTGTTGTTTTAGTGTGTTCAAGAAAAAGAACAATAAGGATGTGCCCTTAAGACAAAGATAAATTCAGGTTCATTTCTCTCAAATGATGCAAATTCAATGAAGCAAAAAAAATATGCTTTTTTTTTAAAGAGAGAGTGAGAGAGGAGAGAGAGAGAGAGGGAGAGAGAATTTTTAATATTTATTTCTTAGTTCTCAGCGGACACCACATCTTTGTTGGTATGTGGTGCTGAGGATCGAACCCGGGCCGCACGCATGCCAGATGAGCACGCTACTGCCTGAGCCACATTCCCAGCCCAAAAATATGCTTTTTTAAAAATACTTTCTTAGATGTTAATGATCTTTATTTATTTATTTATTTATTTGCTGTGCTAAGAATAGAACCCCAGTGCTAGAACATGATAATAACCTAATTGGTCTCTCTACTTTTTCTTCAATTCTCTTCAGTCCTACCTTCACACTATAGCTTCATATTTCATGCTGACAAGTGCTCTAACACTGAGATATAACCCCAATTCTGCAAAATTGATATTTTCAACAAGATAGGTGAGCTAATATGAAATTCATGAAAAGCTTCTGAATTACTTTTGAAAGTAAAGTTGCAGTTAGTTTATTTAGGCCTGAAAATTTTAAAAGTAGATATATACATACACATATACACACAAATAAAATAGGTTCATGAACCCCATCAGTATAAACAGAAATGTCTTCATTATCCCCCCATCCTCTTTCTTTCTTCCCTAAACAAATTCCTACCACTGAAGGCCCAAGAGGCCATCAGCTCCTCAGGGCTCTTAGAGTCATATGTGTTGTATGTTATTAATTTGGTACTGCTGATCTTGTTCACACAAGAAAAACATGGCATATCCACGGAGGTTTCATGGAGGTAGTATTCTGCATGAGGATGTCTGTGGATTAACTACCACTATATATTTCTGCTCTCTTCTGTCCGTGCACCTTATAGCTTAAAAAATGTGGAAAATCCCACCACAAAGCAGATGTCTCTCTTCATGTATAATTTGGTGGAAGGCAGAGCATGGTGAAGAGGTCAGTTTACACCAATAAACTAAAAACCTCAGTCATGAAATATAGTTAGCCACACCAAGACCCTCCTAAGCCATGGACAGGTCATGCTGAGTACTCCTTGAAGATGTCAGTCTGTTAGTGAAATGAATAGTGAAACACAAGTTGAGCCACTTGGCCTCTCTGGAATCAGGAAGGATTTTAATCTGGCATGTTCAGTATGTCAATATTCATGAAACATTTATCATGGTGGTAATGCTCTCTGATAAGGGATCATGGCACAGAAGAATCATGAATATTACTTCCTATAAAGACTTTCAAGCCAAGTAACCCTTCTGAGAATAAATGCTGTTAATACCACTTCCATTTCTTCCCCCAAAGAGAGCTCCTGTTTATTGTACTTTCTTCTGTACTTTCCTGCACCAGAAAAGGAAGCAGCAAAGCTTAATAGAGAAGGGCAATAGACTCAATTTAAACTATTGTAGTACTGTACTACTAGAGGTTTCTCTAGGATTTGGAGGTCAATATATGTTCCTTTCTCAAAGGGTTTGTATGTGCACAGGCAGCCAACCATGGTTGTCAAGTAATGATAAAATTGTTCATAGATAGATCTTGCTGCTGAAAAGGGAGTCTGATTTTGCCTTTTGTACCAACTCAGTTTTCTTTGCAGCTGTCAAACTTTCACGATATCTGTGCATAATATATCAGAGCTGGTTCAGTATACTGGTATCCAGCTTGAGGAGTGCAGAGTCGAAGATCCCAGGAGGAAATAGTACCACTAAAGATGGTCATAATTTACATATGTGTCACATACCTTCTCATAGAAATCCCAAATGAAGTGCATCAAGAAAGTACTGCTATTCTCCAATGACATTGCAGTATTGTCAGCCATCCTACATAGTGAATCAGTTTAGACACAGATGAATCCACCCAAGGCTGTCTCTAGAAGACTGCTTGTCACAGGTTTCATTCAAATGTCCACAGAAGCCACAGTAGCCAGTTTTGCAGGGGCTCTTTCAGACTGTGGAGAACACTGCACTTGAAAGAAATGGTTGATGTAATGAAGAGATATGCTAGATGGTCAAAAGGAAGAGGCTTCACGTCTGAGAAACTACTAAAAAGAATGCATCTCAGGAGCAGAAGGAATTGTGACCAACAACAGAGGCCATCCCAGAGAGGAAGGCTGTTATATAGGAACAAAGCCCTTCCTGTAGAAAGCAGTGTGCCCTGATGATAGTGTCCAGGAAGTTTGGAAAGTCTTATCTTCATGTTCATAAATTTTTCATTTTTATACCAAATACATTCTTCTTGTAATGTATCTCAACCAGAGATAGAGCCCTAGTAAAATCAACTCATCTCTGACACAGTTACTATAGGGAAGTAGCAGAGAGTTGTTCACACTGAGCCCATCTGAGCAGGCACCTCACATCAATGGGTGTTTTGTAAGCGTTCAGGGAAGTTCTGAAGCTGTTCTAATGGGAAGGATCCACTGTGACTGAGATAATCAGAAAGACTCATCTCTTTTTTTCTACATTCTTTGTGTAGCTATCAGAATTTAGCACAGGTAAAACTGAGTGAGAATTCCATTGTCTTTGTAGAGGACAGACTAGCTGGACCTAACAGCAGTTTTAGAGGTTCTGGAAAAGGTTGTTGATTTCTTAGTAAAAGCAATCATGTATGGAAGAACTGTATCCAAAGGAGAGAAAAAGAATAAATAAAGTATATACAATCAGTGCAAAGAAAGAAACAAGCAATGTTAATAACACAAAGGTAGAAGAGGTGAGGAATCCTCAGAGAGCCCAGATTTGCTTACATGAATCCAGCCCAGTGTGGTGAGACCTTGCTGATTCTGTATGAGAAAAAGTTCTATGTTCTCCGTGTTGCAATAATCATACTCAGTGATTTCCTTGGGGATGATAATGTAGGGTATGGTAAATTCATTTCTAATCTGTCAAAGGAGAAAACAGCTTGTCACAATTCTGGGGCACTCCTGCGACCCCACACAGTGGAAAGTCAAACATCTGCACAAGCAAAGGCCCTTCCCACCACAGCCTGAGTCTCTTTTGTGTTCCCTGAATCCCTCACAACCTTTGCTGCTAATGTGCATTTCTGGGGGGGTCTGTGAAGCCAGAGATGCTAAGACCACCCCAGGGCCCCCTCTGATGCACAGCGTGGGTAACTGCCACAGCCCTGTTGCAGTGCCTCATGGTTCTTGAAAAGCTCCAGGTAGAGTACCATTCTCTTCCTTTGCTCATGTCTAAATTGGATTCCCTCCACTGTTAAGTCCTTCTCATTAATACTCAGGTCAAGTCTGTTCCACTTCCTTCATGGATTCATTCAGCAGTTATTAATGGGTTCTTTTAAGTGCCTCCATTCAGTGATAGTTTCCTTCTTCAAAATTCCTAGTGCTTGTATGTTTCATACTATCAGAATGCTATTTATCATTTATTGTATATCTCCCATCTCTCCACAGTGATTGGACAATTTTTGGACATATATTCTGTGCCTTACATATATTATATATTACTAGGGCCTACCAAAAGTAGGTTCTCTGAACTTGATGGTATAGGCTACTAAATTTAGCGTTTGGTATTAATCAGTTCAATT